TTTCCTATTAGATAATTAATACCTCTGATACATACTATGGGACTTAATTAAAAGTATCTCTGCTCACACACTAACCTTTGCTGAGGCACTGCTTCAACTGAGAAGTTCTAACTTCCCAACATTTTAAATATGCCTTATAATGCTGACATGAGGTGCTTCAAACAAATGGCTTTGTTCCTTTAACTCTCTTGAAAAAAAAAAAAAAACCCTGAAAAAAAAGCCCCAACAAAAAACCCAACCAACTATATTCAGTTATTTTCCATGAGGATATGTATTTTTACTTATCTACAAAGTCTCAACCCTCTCCTACATTTTTATTTCTTTGTATACAAATCTAGAGGCTGAGGATGCAGTGTGTCTTATCTCCTTTCCTTTCAAAAGGATGCAAGGAAAACAAACGTAGTTTCCCTTAGTTTGGTTGGAGGCCGTCAAATCTAGGATGCCTGTAGATCTATGCACACTTTGTATCCAAAACATAAGTTAATGAGCACATTCAAAAAGCTTCAGTCTGTCTTATTTTTTTAGTTTTTATCCCACTTAACTAAATTTACCTCTGCTCTGCTTTTCCAGCTGTTCTCCTTTCAATCTAGAATCTGAATTTCCAGTTAAAGAAAAAGCAACATCCCCCTCAAAAACAGAAAACCACAGGCTACACAGATTAACACCTTTTTAAAAGTCCTTTATAAAGGATAAACAAATCCAATCCACCTACTTGTTTATTCAGGCAGTTACCAATTAAATTGACTTCCTAGCATTACTATACCATTAACAGTGGTCTATTGTCTGGTTCTCAAAATTACAGCTTTGAAGATGTGTTTTGCTCAAAACCAGGATTTTTAGACAATACAGGAGATGTTCAGTGTTACATAACAAATGTCATTACATTTTGAAGGATTTGGGTTTTTTGACACGCATATGTCTCCTGATACTTTTTAGTTTCTTAGATTTAGCAACAGACTTAGCAACAGCCACAACGTGTTTACCCCAAAAACCTGGGAGCTAAATCAACTGTAAGAACACAGGATCAGACGGTAACTTCCAGTACCACTGTCTGTGTTGCCAAAGAGCTTTTTACTAGTCTTCTACCTCCACACAAAATCATTACCTGAAGCCATGGTTGAAGCAAGGCACAGTCTACTTGTTAATCACTTTAAGGCCCTTAGTTGTCACTTCTTTTAAGAGTTACTATATCTCTGGTATCAGCTGGGTATTTCAGAACTCAAGTCAACTCAGCAACATTGTTTTTCCTTCAGAAGACTCTTACAGAATATCACTGCTCAACTGAAGTTTTCAATTGTAACAGTGAAGATGCGCTATTCTCCCTATTTGTTCTTTGTAGGAACAGGATGGGAGAAAGATAAGATGAAAGGGAAGCAAAATAAGATTCTTTTTTGTGCATCAAAACAGTAATTAGTCATTTAAATATCTTGTGACTTGATGCTTGAATATTAAATCTCTTTGATTGCATTTTTCCCTAGGGAAAGTTATTTAGTCGAGAGCTCTTAGCTCCAAATATGTGTTCATTTAAAATTACATTTATGCAAAACTCAAAGCACTGCTAGAATTCTATTTATAAAAAGTTATAAATGCTTGTTACACTAGTGGAAGCCGCCCTCTCCTCCAGACTCTTACGGACACTTTGCCATCTGTTTGTAATACAAAACATCTATCATTTTCGTATTAGGAAAAAAAATCCTCCAACTCAGGTTTTCAGCTGCTACATAACACAAACAACTACTAACCTTCCTAAATCCTGCACGGCATGAAGTTTGGGAAACAGAACGCGAGAGTATTAAACCTGTGAGGTTTGGCGTGACTTAAGTCGTAAAATTGTGTCTCTCTTTTGTCAACACCAACATAAAACTGAAGAGAAAGCTTTTTAGGGCAACAAGAGGGAAGTAAGGAAATCTAGCAAGTTTGCAGAAACACGAAGGAGGAAGAGTTTAATGTCAACTACTTCACATAAGATTCGAAAGGGATTCAGAAAGACACCTGTGTCTACCGATGGCAAACAAATTTCTCTTGGGGGTGTGTGCTTGTGTGCATATTCAAATACAGGCATGAGCAAACTTTAACTAAGGAAAGTGACTACTTACGCCTACTGCTCTGAAATTTAACCCTCGAAGCTAGATTTAGGAAACAAAAGCATCGCATTAACCACAAAAACAAACCTTATGATAATGTTTAATATCTTTCCCTTGCCCATTACTACTTTTCCTTAGCTAGGACATATCTCTCTAGGTTTAGGGAGACTATACAGACAGCCCACGTAATTTTCTAGTCTGAAAACTTGTAACTGCCAGGCAAGCAGTAAAAGACAGCAATCTGACATTTCTACATAAATAAATGCCCACTCTCTCACTTGAACTGAGAAATAAACTCAGCAAGCATCACAGCAAACAACAAAACTTAAAATTCTGGTACAAGAGGAAACTAAGGGTGCTTTCTCTTATATTCAGAATCTTCGTGTTTCAATTCAGAACATATCTATTGTGTCAAAAAGAAATACAAGCATTCTAAGCACTGCTACCTATTCCTCAGTGGATACCATGCTAAAGTTTTGAGCACCTCTACAAAAATAAACACCATCAAAACAAAACCATAAAAAACACCAACCTACCAATTAAAAACAAATACGAAAACACAAAAAACAAAACCACCACACTTCACAATGTACATTTTAGCGGATGTTTAAAGCAACTTACGACTTGCACAAGACTTGGAAATACTGAATTATGTTCAAATGGTAGGGAGTTATGCTACAAAAGCCTCACAGAGCAGTTACTGAATAGACAACAGCATGAAGAGTATTACTCTCTAGAAATCACTCTGCCTGAAGACATTTCACAAAAACTCACAGACTCAGTTAACTTACTGTAGTACTGCCACAGACAGAAAACTCCACTTAAAGATGATACTTCTCTTAAAATAAAGGTAACTCAAAGGATTCTACATCTAGAAATACAAACAGAAACTTCAGAGCTGCCACCTTTAACAGACAAGAAAAGTCAGACAACTAGAAAAACTCAGGACTATGAAACTATCACCTTTGTTCTTAGCACCAAATTTCAAAACCTGCTTATGTAACTATTTCTACAGTTCTCCCCTATTTGCTGTGCTTAATACACAGATGGGGAAAACTGATTATACTAAGGAAATAACTAAAGATTTATAAACACTGAAAGTAACAACACACTTCAGAGCCGGGGTCTTCAACAACAACCGCTACCGAGTGTTTTATCTTCAGCAGTAACAGCCAGTGATTGTTTCACCTATCTTGGAAAGTGCTGAGCAAATGATTAAACGATCCCGAAGTTCAAAAAGGTATAAGTTTCACCCTCCACTGAGACAGCAAAATCGAGCGGGAAATGACAGACTTTTAGCCTCCCAACACGGATTTCCTCACTCTCAGTCGTGCTTCAGAACCGACTTTCGGAGGAACCATCACAATTTTACTTACACCTTACAGACCTCTAAGTATGTCTGAAGGTGCTTCTAGGGTTTTCAAGTAAACCCAAGCGGAACCCGATCCGCTCCCTATCTCTGGGCAGGGGAGGAAGGTCCCGCTCCCCTGAGGCCGGCCGGGCCCACGCGCGCTCCCGCCGCCGCGCGCCCCCCGCGGCCCCGTCCGGCTCGGCAGCGCCCCCCGGCGGGGCCGCGCGGGCACGGCGCCGCCGCCGGGCCCCGTCTGCGCCTCGCGGCTGCCGCACCAGGCCCGGCCCAGGGACCGACACACAAAATGGCGGCCGCCCCGCGCGGTCACGTGACCCCCTTTGTGCCTTTCGGGCCCCCGCCGAGGGGCCGCCGGCGGCCGCGGGTCGCGCGCGGGGGGCGAGGGGGCTGTGAGGGAGCCCCGGGGGAGGACGCGGTGAGGGGCCCCCGGGATCGGCGCCTTCCCGCCCCGGGTGTCCCCCCCCTCCCGGCGGGCGGGGAGAGTGGGGAGAAGATGGCGGCCATTTTGTGCTTGCGCAGAGGCGAAGGTGGGGGCCCGGGTGCGGGGGGGATGGTGGGACCCGGCCGAGGGGGGGGGGGTCTCACGTACCGACTCCTCTTCCTTCTCCATGCCCGTGGGCATCTGCGGCACGGCCCGGTTAATGGAGGCATATTCGGCCAAGTCAGGCAGGTCCTCGCAGCGGAAGACGGGCAGCGGCTTGGACGCGTCCAGCGCCCGGGCCCGGAACGACAGTTTGCTCATGTTAGGCGGCGATGGCGGCTCCGGCTGGGAAGGGGGGGGCGACAGCAAGAGCGCTCCGAGCTGAGAGCCGGACCCCGCCGAGCGATCTCATGGAGGGACCGGGGCTCCCCCGGCGGGGCGGGGCGCACTCCGACACGGGGCCCGGCGGCGCCGGCTGGCGCGGCTGGGCTGGGCGCTGGCTCCGCTCCTCCGCCGCTCCGGTTCCGCTCAATACGCCACGGCCAACATGGCGGACATTAAACCTCGACTGGCCGCCTCTTTCAGCCAACCCCAGCGCCACAGCCATTCCCACACTGCATCGCGCAAGGCGCGGGCACGGCGCCGCCCGGGGGGAGCGCGCGCCGCGCGGGCACGGCGGCGCGGGAGCGCGGCGGGCTCCGAGCGGCCGGAACGGGAGCAGGAATGCGGCGGGGATCGGAGCGGCAGCGGGGCAACGGGATCGGGGGGCGCAGCCGGGAGTAAACCGGGGCTTTAATCAGCGTGCGGCACCGCTCCGCTCGCCGAGCCGTGCCGGGGAGCCGCGCTCCTCTCCTGCCGCGGCGAGGAGGTTTGGGCGGCCCCAAATCCTCCACACTGGGGGCACCGTCCCCGACAGCCGCGCCTGACCCTGACAGCTCCGGGAAACCTGGGCGAGAGAGGCGGGGAATTGCCGACCTCGACCTTTCCGGCCGCTCGGGGGCCGGACCGCAGGACAGCGGCGCCGGGCGCTGAACTCGCCCCAACCCGGTCGCGCTGAGGCGGGGTCCGAGCGCGGGGCCGCCCGGGGAGCGCCCCCGCCCCAGGGACCGGCCCCACACCCGCGGCCCCTCACCCGCACCCGGGCTCGCTCCGTCCCCGCACCGCCGAACCGAGTTCGCACTCGCGCTATATGTAAGACAAACACGAGCAGCTCCCCGAAAACGAGGAAGAACCGTAAGAACCGGGCGCCCCCACAACCGCATCCCCAGCGCTTTTCTTTGAGGCTTTCAGAAACTTGGTCCGGCAGCGCAGCGCAGACACGCGAACTGGTTTAACCCTTGCGTGCATTTATTACCAGTGACCCGCTCAAGCGAGCTCACCCTAGGCAAAGGGTAGAACTCATCTGAGCATGTCTCATTAGGGAAGCTCGTTTACATCCCAGTGAGTCGATTAAATTGATGCGTTACCCGGCGATAAGCAGGGGGTAGGAAGGCAGAGTCTCCCTGGTCCCAGCGCTGCCTGCACGTGCTGCCCCAGAGCATTCCCAGCGCAGCCCCGGGAACGTCAAACTCCGCTCCTGCCAGGCCGGGGCTGGAGCCGCCGAGTTAAGGAACAATCCACCTCCTCATCTATGTTATGTTCTTGCACTAGATAATTCCAGTTCTAAAGTAAACCCCACCTTCCTGAAGTTATGCTTATTTCCATTTTAAAATGTGAGAAAGTTGTGTTTTGATTGAATTCAAGTGCCCCTCCACTTTTAAAGCAACATACTGTAGTTTTGTACTGATATATGAGAATTGGTAGACAGAACTTGTTCTTTATCCCATACTACTTCTGGGAAATAGAACTTTAAGAAATAGGACATAGATATAACAAAAAAAAATTAGGGAAACCTAAGTTTGCTTAGCAATTTTAGAAATCTGATCTCTGTAATAGAAACAAAAGCCATTTTTTTAATCTCATCACCTCTTTAATAATAATACCATCCTGAACCTTGAGCAACTACTAGACACTGGATGAAATATTACTACATGCAGTTGTTAGCAGCAGTTTCAAGCCAACTATTTGCATGTGTCTTCCGTGTAGGTCTCCCAAACTGTTTAACTTGCAAGCAACTTGGCTTCATAACCTCTCTGGGACCAGAAATTCCATCTGTTTCGCAAATGGGTAATGCAGTGGAAGACAGCTGCTAAGGAGAATGAGACTTGGTTTTTTTAGGAAGGTTTGGGTTTTGTTTGTTGTTGTTTTTGGTTTTGGTTTTTTTTTTTAAGGAGAGTGGCATGAACTAAGGAATATCATTGTATTCATTCGTATGTCAGTAGTTACATCAGAACCAAATGTTTAAACATTATATCCCTTTATACTCTAACTTTAAAGCTTAAAACGCACACTAACTAGAAAAAGTAATCTTAAAATAAATTGCCCATAAAACATCTACAGTTTTCCGGAAATACTAAATAATTTAGTTTATCCAATTAGCAGACAAAAAAACCCAAAAACCTCAAAGCAATATGCCATCATAGATTGACTTTGACTTGAAACATTAAATGAAAATGAAACACCTGGCAGCTAAGCAAAAAATAAGGCCATTAAACATAACTCTTCACTTTTGCTGATGAAAGGAAAACAATACATAATGAACATAATTAAAAGCAAAGTATTGGAAATACCCTGAACTATAAAGAAAGAATAAATAATCAAGTACAAACTTATCCTTAAGTGACCTTTGCATTTCTAACCCTGCCACAGGCTTGAGAAAAGTGCAGAGCAAGCAGAACAGGCAATAACATTTGGATACAAAGAGGACAGTATGCATTAAGAAGGAGTGTTGGCCTGAAACTCTTGGACTCATCAGCTTTTAATGTTTTGCTAATAAAATAGATTGTGTTTAAATATTTTGTAGCAGCAGATGATTAGTCCTCAAAATTAACTAAATCAAATTACTAGTAAGATGAAAAGTGTGATATTTGAAAACAATGCAACATCAGCCCTAATGTCTGTTCTGTAAAAGGTGGTGACGGGAAAAGGCATAGAACATAAACAGACTGATGTTTCCATTTTACTTTCCTTTCAGTTACAATATGCAGGAGTATTTAGCTTTTTCCATTTTGTAGCTTTTACCAAAATGAACACATTACATCTGTAGACATCAGTGCTGCACTATGACAGCAGTTAATGCAGAATTGGTATGTTTTGCATAATGACCAAAATACTCTTTGCAGGCTGTCAGTAAAAGATCAGTAAGTGTAAACTAATTTGGTGAACCAAAGTGCTGTGTTATCTATTTTAAAAATTTAACTGTAAGGTAAAGTAACTGAAATATAATGAATATAACATTTTGAACTGATGGTTTTATGTTTTTTCATTTTGGGAGGTTTTTTTGTGTGTGTTGGGGTTTTTTGTTGGTTTTTGGTTGTTTGTGTTTTGTTTTGGGTTTTTTTGTTTGGTTTTGGTTTTTTTTTGCAAACTGCTGAAATTAGATCTTTAGCATTTGGGGCATTTCTTTAAGACTTCATTTTTTATGATATGAAACCAATTGAAAGAACTAAATGAAAGTACTTTATGTATCAGCTATGTAGCTGGTAAATATCGCCATTTAAATATACATTCAGAAGTCCTAAATTCAGACTGAGCATTAGGGGCAAATTTACAACAACTTGCTCCATGCAGCTACAGACAGAGGTCTCTTTTCCTCTCATCTAACTTGTGTTTGTGATGCCCAAAAACTTAACTTGCTATTTTGGTTTGCAGGTTTTCTGTACCATTTGACAAGTTCTTACAAATTTTAGTATTTATTTAGTTTTGCAGCTTAAGGCCTCTCTGAGTTAAAGAAAGACTTCCAGTCATTTATTTAAGCATGAATTGTAGTTTTTTGAACATGAGTTTAATACTGTCTCACATTTTAACACCAATCATCATCACAAAAGAGCTGCACATAAAGTCCATGCAGGTTAAATCCTGTATCATTTTTGGTGCTTTCTGTAATCAAGCAATTTCATATTTTAAGGATATAAAATTCTAGGAGACAGTTGTTCAACATCTAAAAATTTTTTTTAAAACATTTTTATTCTCCTTTTTTTGTATTAGGATTTATTTGTATTTTGTATTATGCTAAACTATACACTGACTTTCATATTCATAAATACTTGCAATTTTTAATTTTTGTCATTCTGACTACTTCATACCCTTCTACTAACTCATCATTTATCTATACATAATTTTTGTTGATCTGGTTTTTTTTATCTCCATAAATGCTAACTATTCTGAACTGATAAAAAAAATGTCACTGATATCTCCACGCACACACATTCAATACTCAAGTATTAAAAAAGGCACATTCTGAAATTACCATATCTGGATAAGCTTTAATGGATTTTTTATGTATATTCCTGTTCTACATTTGGTGGTGATGCTACTGTTCAAATTTCCTTCTCAGCTACCTTGTATATGTTTTACAACACTAGATAGCTATATTCTTTTAAATCATCTCATACTTGGAGTTTGAATTTAAATGAGATAAATGTAGGCAAATATGACACTAGAGGTTCTTCATTATTTTATAAAATGTCACATTACAATAGTAAGTAGATGCATACAGAAATTATCTTAATAGCTGGAAGATTTCAACCATAATGTAACGCACAGTGAATTTCGCCTTATTTACTTGTGTCAACTGTCTGTGTTAAAAGAGATAATGGAACTGTCACACATAAACAGTTCAGACACCACACTACAAAACTGGTGTAGAATGACTTTGTGATAACCTCTGTGACTTTTTTTAAATATAATTTAGTGTTTCATAGCTTTGGTATCTCAAAAGAATGGTACAATATATTCATTTAGTTATTTCAGGTGTTCATGGTTGAGATGCAGTAGGTACAAAGCTTATTTGGAGTTCTCTGAATCATAATTTGATGTAGTGACCAAGTAAATCTCTTCCTCAATTCTTGACTTAATGAGGGGAGATTATATATATATATATGTAAAACAAATTAAATTTTTATTTCTGGTACATGTACTGCATGGTCAAATCTTTCAGTTACCTTTTATTTTTTGTAGGCACTTTCAGTTTACGGTGCAGAATACCAAGAGATGAGATACTACTGCATTTGATATTGTGTTCCTGTTACTATTCAACAGAACGTAAGTAAGCATAATCCTTTAGATTCCAAAACTGCCCAAAAAAAATATTTAAATTTGGAGATACAACAGCCTGGTAAGACAAGAAGCTCGTGCTAAAAATGAGCATGTAACTTTTCCATTACAAGCCCAACAACTGCTATTCTCATGAGCAGTATCTTACTAGAAATGACCAGTAGTGCAGCATTACAGAACCAGTTGTATCCTCAGCATTCAGAACAGAGGCACTGAAGTTGGCCTTCTTGCAACACAGTCCAAAGTTTTAATGCTTTGTCACAAGTGACTGTACCTAAAACTGGATAAGGAATTGCCATGTGATCAGTGGGTTTCACATTTTAAAACTACACACAGGAAATCACAAGGCAACAGTATTTTGCAGCAGGTAATGTCAACAAAACCAAGACAGGCTGAAATGAACAGTGGTTCTGTCATTTCTCAGGCTCTCACTTTGTGCTGTGCTGCCTTTGGTAATAATGTTGGTTTAAGACACTGCTCCCTCTCCCTGCTCTGCCACCCGCTCTTTCTCCTCTGTAGCTGCACTGCCCCCTCACTGGTATCGGCACCACTGCTTATGGAGCTGCCCTGAGTACCAGGTGGGAATGCCATCAGATACATTAACAACTCTGACAAAAGCCTAACTGCACATAGCAGAAGAAAAGCCACCCAGAAAGATCCGTGTTGGAATTTATATGTCCCCACTATCTGCAGTTTACGGCCACTGCCCTCTTTCTTCATGTGATCTAGTTTGTGAAAGCTGCAGAATACAACAGTCTGAACAATAAAAGCTGTGCAAAAAGGATTTGAAAATGATACAACTATATATGCAATTTAATACACACCCAAAATAGTAACACTGTCATATGCTATATTTTAAAACTTTTGCCTACAAGACTAGTGCCTGAACTAGTCTATAAATGAAGGAGTTCTTATTTGCTTTCAGACTGATTACATATCACTGTGTATGGGTGGGGTGTTATAATTTCAAGTATATATATAACAGGCAATGTTTTTTTCCCACAAGTGAAAGGATCTAGATGCCAATTTAATGGTGTAATCTTCTCTGGGGATGTCTTTTCAGTTATACATACTCAAAAGTCAAGTCCAGCATCCTCAGGGAAACTAAGCTGAACCTCAACTTTTTGGATATGCCACTGAGCCATATCTAAAAGAGAAGGAAAATCACTAGCCAACAATTCTCTTACAGAGAAGACACAAAGTAAAGAGAGCAAAAGCTATAGCCAGATTCCTACTTTTCCAACTATAGCTAAGCTCTTAGAGATAGTGGAGGCACTTGCCTATATAGGAGGACCAGAAAGTGCAAGAGGAATGAATTATTTAGGATTATTATTTTACAGAACTCAACATTTGTCCCAACATTACCTGGGAAGACAGAGCCCATTTTACCATTCTCTTGCTTAAAATGTATCTGAAAGCACAGAGGGTTTGAGGGAGGTTGTTTTGTACTGTCAGAAAGGAATGAGCTTCCTTTATATGGCTTGTTCCAGAGATTCAAGTTCTTATATGTCTAGGGAAAACACATTATAGTGGAAGCAGTTATTCTCTTAGATACAGCAGTGGTAATGACACAAATTATGCAGAGACTCTTCTGTATTGAAATTTATTTTTCCCTGTTTAAATTTTAACGGATTCAGAAAAGTTATCCTAAGAATTGCAAGGGTTAAAAGTGATTTATGAGTTTCTCCTTTACGGTTTTAGGTTAAAATGTGTAAACCTTCTAAAATACTGTGCTAGACACACCTTGAATTCTTAATTTAGTCACTGTCACCAGCAACTCATTTCACAAAATAATCTTTTAGGATTAAGTAGTAAGACAAAGGGGACCAAAAAAAAAAATCCAAAAATGTCTGACTTTATGCTCTGGTTTGGTTTTTTTTTAAATCTTAATCCAAAACATTTTGTGTTCTGACATACAAAACAATAATAATATTAAAATCACAATTTATTAGGTAAACACAATTTGAGCTGGACAGACTGGCTAGGCACCTCTTACTTAGGTATGGACTTCTGCAAATATCAGATTATAACACATGAATGATTTCTGAGTCAGGTGAATTTAATCATATGATTCTGTATTATTTCCAGTAGAAAAGCCAGCAGAAGGGCAAAAAACCTTATGCTTTTCTTGCAAAAAACCTCACAACTAAGCAAACAAACAAAACAAAAAAGCAAGAAAACCCACAAACAAAAAAAAAAAGCCCCACTTTCTCTTGTGAACACAACTCTAATTCAAGAGCTAAGGATAGATTACTTTGATATTCTGCATAGAATAAGGTGAAAGGCTAAAAAAGGAAAGCAGAAGTACAGAAATCATAGTTGTACACGGGTTGAAGACTGTCCTGAGTCTTTCAATTGACCGCTACGTTAAAAACAAAAAAAACCCAGCACAAACACACACCACACCACTAAATAAACCTTAAGCTGCCACAGTGCTCACACCCCAACCCTGGATAAAGGGGTAAACTGGGGACAAGCTACATGCCTTTGCATGACTTTAGAAAGTTTACTTCTACGCTGTTAGTTGCACTGCCCTATGTAAATGCAAATATACAGCAAATTCAATGCAGGGAAAGACATATGCTCTAATGTCCTAATTTTTTACCTTACACTCCCAAGATAGAAATCCTGTCTTGCAAGTTAGTCTATGAAAAATCATTTCAAGTGCTCCAGAGCTTCTGGTTAGTATGATCAAGTATTTTCAGAACTTCAGAACTACGTTGCTGATGTTAAATAACTGTTAAATAACGTTACTATATAAAGCAAATCGTTTTAAATTGCAGTTCCTGAATCAGAATGAAAGTAGTGTATCTGCTTGCCTCAGATAACTGTGGAAAACACTGACTTATACCTAAACAGGAATCAGCCAGGCTTCAGAAGTCTCTTGGTGCAGGAAAAGTATACTTGCATCTTGGAATAAAGAGGCATTTCCCAAAGCATATGTTTAGATTTTTTTTTTTTTAATGTTAGTGAGACCTACCTACATACCTAGCATGAGTGAACCCTGAATTTCAGATCCAATTAATACAGTTGTGTCATTAAATACCTAATAAAGGCTATACCATCTTTACTTAAGGTAAATACATTTCTCCAAAGAAATGAAAAAAATACAAATAACTCAGCTTTTGGATTTCAAAAGTTTGCAAGAACACAAATATTCTTTCAATTTTAGAAGCGTTTGGTTTTTTTTTTTTTTACACAGTGTAGTTTGATTTATACTTCTAAATTAAGCATAAGTGAATGTTCTAGAGATAATGTTTGACTTCTAGGATACAAACTAATCATGATAATATTTATAACCAAACATTTATATATGCACTTCAGAAAGCATAAATTAATAATGCTGTATTAGTGAAAAAAACCCTAATGAATTGAGTTTGACTATAAATATCCAGCAGAGGAGGCTAGATCTGAACACAAATCTGATAAGACTCTTCTGATGTATATATATATTTAAATGATAGCATTGGAGGCATAAAAAATGTAAAACTCTGATAGGGTTAATCTGAAGAAAATATATTTTCTGAGGTTTTTGAACATTTAGAGAATGCAAAAAACTTGTGGGAGTTGGGCAGATGTTAAGAGGAGAAGTGTTTTTGTTTAGACGAAAACTTGAAGTCACCCTGAGAAGAAAAATAGAGACATCACATTAGGTTATTTTCTGTGTCATAATGCAGGTGGGAAACCCAGGCTGCTGTGATATAATTGGCATTTTCTTCTCACCCCACCCAGTGAAATCCCCAAATCTTCCGTAAGGGCAACCTGAGAAACACAGCCAAATGGAAAGTGGTTTTCTCAAATCACTTAAGAGTAGAAGCAGGTAAGAGTTCCAGCCCCTCGCCCCTGCCTGATAAAGACACTCCACTCTCACTCTGTTATTGAGCAGTGTGTCAGTTTTACAGCCGATCAACATTCCGCCTGTCTGAGCAAGAGAAGGTGACAGAGCCCTGTCATTGACACAGGGCTCTGTGCACAAGCCTGGTACTGGTCACAAGTGCCAGGTCCACTGAACTTCATCTGATTTATAAGCAACTCAAGAACACAAAAGGATATGACCTAATTAAAAAAAAAAAAAAAAGGAAGAGCATGTAAGATGGGAAGGAAAACAGTTTCTCACATTAAAGTAGCTCATCTGGAAGTCTGCTTGACTAGAGCTTTCATCCCACAGATTCCTGCAATATCCAATTTTTAGTTTGGAAATACATCCAGAGATTACAAAAGAAACCAGAATACTTTCTTACAGAATCTTCATTCATTATGTGATTATAAATGGATATGGGCTAAACAGAATGTATATATGTGGAGCCATTAGATGTATTTTTTCCAGCTGTTATCCAGCATGTCTTCTTCTTTAAAAATGCTGATTGTGGCACTTTTACTGAATTGTGAATATATAGTCGCATTGTCTAAAGACGTCAAGATATTCTGTCTTGT